GTCCCAGGCACTGTTGGGGCAGTCTGGTAACTGTGCCTAGCATGGTCTGTGAAGTCCCAGGCACTGTTGGGGCAGTCTGGTAACTGTGCCTAGCACGGTCAGCACCAGATGGAGACAGGTTCAACAAACTGAATGGATGAACAGATGGATGAATGATGTTTTGACTTAGGAGTGCCCAGCTGAGCCAAAAGGTTACATTAAATCACAAGACTGTCTCAGCCAAAGATAGGATGAATAGGAGGTCGTAAGATTGTCTTAGCTGAAGATGGGATTAATCAGGACCATCCCCTTTAAAAGCTCCGTACTTGTGGTCAGAGGTACTGGCGCTCTGTACTTTGAGATGAGAATCTGTAGCCTCTTCATCTGGTGGCAAATTAATAAACTTCTCTTTCCCCCAAAGTTAAGTTATTCAAAAGCAAAGAACATATAAAAAGTAAGTCCAACTACTTCCCTTACTTCCAGCCTCTATAAGAAAGACAGAATAGGAATTAGAATCATGACTCACGGTAGGGAGTCTGGAGCTAGGAATTAGAGGATGGATCTCATAAAGTCTTGAGGGGTCACTTGAAATATAAATGGAAAGGACTAAGGGGGCAGGCTTTGTGTGTGCCGGGTCTGTGCTGCCGGACACAGGAGCTGCATGTGTGGCTTGCATTTGCATTGTGTTTTTATTGGACAGGATTGTGCCAGACTAATTTCTCTTCGAAGAGTTAAGCTTTGTAGCATTGTGTCATTTTTGGCTGTAAGTAACAAATCCCACTCTACAAGTGGACTGAAATGACGCCATTTATTACCGCACAGAACCAGAAGTCCAGCGGCAGGGCAGCTGCAGGCTTCGTCAGTTCAGGTCTCAGTGACGTCTTAGGGTCTCTCCACCCCACCATCCTCCGCATGTTGGCCTTGGCCCTTCATCTTGTCCTCTCATGTCCTGGTGACAGCGGCTCATCCCCACACATGCTAGAGGCTGGCAGGAGAGGGGCAGGCTTTTCTCCTTTCACGTGGGGCAGAGCCTTCTTTTTGACCCTCACCACCCGAGCATACATCCTGTGAGGTCCCCTTAGGTATTACCGGGACAGTGCCCATGCCCTAGCTGCAAGGAGAGCTGGGAAAGTCAGTATGGGGCAGCAAGTGCCAGCTCTCCTGGCATGAAGTAGAAGGAATGGTCATCAATTAACTGGCCAGCAGGGTCTGGTCCCTTTCAGTGCTCCCAAGGCCTCTGTGTGCTTGGCACAGAATGAGCCCCCCCGCCCATCTGTGGAGTGAATACAGGACAGTGAAAGTGAACCCAGAGCTCCTCTTGGACATTTACTCACAGTCTCTCAAGGCTGTTTCTTTCTAAATGTTAACATTTCTCAAGAGTACATTCCACGTGGCTCAGTTTAAAAATGTACTAACAGTTGGGGGTCTTCCAATCTGCACTCATGTTACACAGGCAGCATCTAATTTTCACTTCCTTTTTTCCTTTCTTCTCTCAGCACGGTGAGCAGTGGAGCGAGGACGCCTGTACCACGTGTGTGTGTGACCAGGGCCAGACCAGGTGTCACAAGCAGGCCTGCCCTCCATTGAGATGCAGAAAGGTATTGGAGAGTGTGGTTCTCTAAGTTGCATTCTGGGTCATTTAGAAGCCCATTCCTAGACCATCGTATTCTTTGAGGGAATCAAAGTCTTCTGCCGTTCAGAATGTTACATAAAGGTCTGAAGGCCAGTCTCTTAGGAAAGGGGTCCGGGGTGGAGGGGACCCTGCCCCTGCCAGGCGGGCAGTGGGGAGGCAGGAGGGTGCAGTGCTGGTATTCTGGCCCTTCTGCCCCTGTTGGATCCGGTGACTGTCCCCTGACACTGCCCATCACCCGCCATTCTTCCTGTTTCCTCAGGGTCAGAGCAGGGCCCGGCGTCAGGGGCAGTGCTGTGAGGAGTGTGTGTCTTTTGCTGGGAGCTGTGTACACGACGGGGTCGTGTGGTACCAGGACGAAATGTGGACGGCCTCTGCCTGTGAGTTCTGCACGTGTAACCGTGGTCAAGTGACCTGCCAGCCTGCAGAGTGTGCCAAAGTGGAGTGTGGCTGGGTAAGAAGTGACACATTTCCATTCAGACCGCAGCAACTCTTTCCAACAGGCTGGGGGGCCCGGCACCTGTTCCTTTTTTCTTGGCAGCAGAGGGGATGGCCAGACTGACCACATACTTCATGGGACCGTCTAGCACACAGACTCTGTGGTGTGAGGGGAATGTCACCATTTGTTCAGACCAGCTCAGAACGGCCCCTGGAGCCTTTAGCTCTCAGTGAATCTGGTCAGGTTGGACACCCTACACCAAAGCCATGACGGGAAGAGGGATAAGGGACATTGTCCTATTGGGCAGAGTGGCTGGAACTCATTGCTGGTGGCCTGCCCAGGACCCACAGGTGTGCTAGTGACCAGGCTTCTGCCCCAGGCCCCACTGGCAGCTTTTAGCAGAAAAGAGCCAGCATGTAGGGGCTATGCCTGTGGATCAGGAAAGAAAATAAAATGGTTTTGGCTTTTAAGAGAGAGCAAAAGGGACTTCATAAACAATTAACCCTGCTGACCTCTGTTGACTTCTGCCTGCAGAATTTCTAGAAGCTTTTAACAAAGCAGCCTCTATTTGAGCTACAGATGTACTGTATATTGCAGGGAAATTACTCTCCCCCCGCCCTTGAACTTGATTGGGACCCATTGCAGAACAAATTGCTTTTAAAGTCATTTCCTTCTCCCTCACCACTCCTATCCGCCCCACCAATTTCCCTCTGGGCTGTGAACTTGAGTAGATGACGGAAACTGGAGAGATCTGAAGGACTGGGGGGCTGTAAAGCTGTTTTTTTTTTCCCCTTGTTCTTCTCCCCTATTTCTCAGCAACTCCCAACTGTGAGCCTCGGGGGGGGGGTAGTTGTTCACCCGAGACCCTTATTGATGGTGGTGTTTTTCACTTTGCCTCCTACTTGTGGGTCTTGGCAAAGATGAGACATTCTTAGGTAAAGAGGGTCTAGCTCTTTTGCAAATTTATTTCCCCCTCCCCAGCACGCCCTTTTCACCTCTTTTCTTTCTTTATGTTAAGGGAGTCAGAAGGGTTGGATGAAGATGAGAAGAAAATCTGATCGAGGCTGAGGCCAAGCGTCCTTGTCTGGGCAGTCCGCCCATGGGACGCTAGGTTATTTTCCAAAGTTCTAATTTATCAAGTATCCCAGGATTTATGGGAAATGTGGGAGGAGTGATCCTAGTAGTGTGGATCCTCTGCTTGCTTTCATTCAGGTCTGAATAAAGAGTCTCAGGCACAGAAAATGAGTTAACTGGTACCCCAGGGTCAGTGCGTCTTCCAGTGCTCCCCACCTGCTGCCATCAGCCGTGACCTAGCTGTGATTGCATAAGCTAGTTCCTTTTGTCTATTCTTAGGAAAAATGGGGAGCAACTGCCAAAGTGGAGAGCACCTCAGGACTCTCCAGGTTGCCCCATGATACCAACTCGCCCCTTTCTGGTGCCTCCCCCCTCTTGCCGCCATCTTTTCTTGTATTGCTGAGAAGTTCCGATGCCTTTAACGTATTTCTTCAGATCTTTGATCAGCTAAATTGCTTCTTCCAGATTATCTTCATGTTTCCTACATTTTGTTTAAGCCACTGGGTTCTGAACTAGAAACGCTACCGGAAGTGAAATTGTACCCAAAGTTGAATCTGGTGGACAGCATCTCTTAGCCTTCCTCTGTGCCGTCCTCTGTAATAGCCCTGGTTAATGATCTTGCTTGCTAAAGCCTGGATGTACCAACTTCCTGACTTCTGTCTAGCTTATGTCACTGACAATCAAAAATAAATACATAAATAAGACACTTTCCAACCTTGAGAATTCCCAGGCTTTGGGGGAAATTAAATACGTAAACAGAAAGTTATAATACAGTGTGACACCAATGATTTTGGAAATCTGAGTTAAATGCATTAGGAGCACCCAGTGGAAATGACTTTGTCTGCCAAGGGGCAAAGTGAAAAGGTACTATAGGGCGCCCCATGAATATCCAGCATTTAACACTTATAAACAGAGGCTGTTATAGGTGATAGGTACACGTACCTGTTCCAACATACATACAAATTTAACTTCAGAACAAACCTATAGAACTTACCTTGTTTGTAAACCAGGGACTGCCCACGCTGGTACTTTTATTCAGTTCTACCCTGCTTTCTGCCTCTTTCTTCTCTAAAATATCAGGTTGTTTGATTTCTAGTCTTGGAGTCCGAGGGTGGGTCACTCGTGAGTGTGCACACGTCCACCACAAGGTGCAGAGAAGTAAATTCTAGAAGGGGCAAAATCGTGCAGCTTCACCACGGTCATCGTGATCATATTGACTGTTAGTAGCAGTGTTCTGAACAGCATGGAAATCAGTATGCAGTTTTTCTTTGTTAAAAAAGGAGAAAATTATATGACCCATGTCTCTGATATATCACACCCAATCCCTAAGCATGGAAACAAAAGTAAATCAGTGGTAGAAGAGCATGATAGGATGATTTCTCCTTATGTGTTCTATGATGCCTCTGAGCGTGAATGCAGGTGAAGTCAAATTGTCCTTTTTAATGAAGGACCCAGTGTTCACATCGCTGTCCTAGACTGGTGAGGGACTGGAAGCTGGCAGCAGAGCACATGGGACAGGGCAGCACACCACAGTGTGAGGTGGAGGCAGGATCCCCCCACGAGGGCCCCTTTCTGGAGGGCAGGGTGTCTGTCTCATTGCGGTCTTTGGTCTGGTCTTTGTACATGTGATGGTTGGGGAAGGGGTGGCAGCTTCTCTCTGGCTTACGCAGCAGAATCTTCTTAACAGGAAAATAATGAGTTTTGCTTCACAAAGTCATTTTGGTCAAAGCAAAAGTTGAACATGAGCTTCCTGCACAGTGAAGGGATGGCACTCGGGCCCCGTAGGCCTCTTCCGTAGTTAGCAGATCTGTTCAGAATGTCCCACCTCACACAGCTGAATCCATGTTCACCCAGATCAGGGCTTGCTGTTGTGTACAGTAGTGTCTGTGTATGTAGTAGCAGATGCTCAAGAATCTTTGATGTGTTTTGTCTTTAGGAGAAGTATATATACTCTGTTTCATTTCAAAACATTGTTTTACGTGACTGAGATTCCATGCATCTAAACCTCTTTATATGCCCTGAAGGCAAATTCAGTATGCTTCTGGGTTATGCCTTCACTGCCAGCTGATTCATCCTCTTTCTGCAAAATAATCTATATGTAAATGTCCGCTGTCTGTAGTGCCCACTGCTCTCCACTGGCCTTTGATTGATACGTAATTTTGATGGGCAGTCATCTATATAGCTCTTTTCTTTTTGAAATATCTTTTTAGACACTCTAAAAAGTTATAATCATTTATGTATTTTTGTGTTTCTTTTAAAATTTTATATTTTCACTCATTAAGAGAACATATATTCATTCTAGAAAATTTTGAAGATTAAAGAAAAGTTAAAGAAAAAAGACCAAAAAAAATCTATAAGGTCTATAGATCTCTGTATACTAAGGTATCCAGTGTCTCCAAAGACAGCCACTGCTTTTGTGATGTTGGTCTTTAGTGCAATGTTTTCAAACATTAAAATCATTGTGATTATTCTGTTTATATGATTTACATTATGCATCTTCATTTTAGCATGGTTTTTATACTTCTAAATATAACATAGACCCCCAAATTGAATATTAACTATTTAGAGAATCATCTAAATAGATGTATTTAGAAAATAGTTATATTTAAGATCTTTAGAAAATGGGATATGCTTTAAAGAATACTCTTCAGCCTGTAGCTACTTTGCATTAGTGTATAAAACTAGCATATAGGTTAGATGTTAGTATATACATATGGAAAATTATAAACAGAGATTGTATTTTAACAGCAGATTCCCTCGGTGCTAGGACTTCAATGAATTATACCTTCTAAATTATGGAATTCAGAATTATTACATTTTTTTATAGCAAACATTTATTATTTTGTAATAAGAAATAAAGTGTTTTAAAGCTATTGATATTGGGAAATGAAAGTGATAAGACTTTGAAAGTTAAACATCTACCCTTCAAATATGCTTTTTCCTTTCTTTTTACAATTTGAAAAATAGTTTTGATGTGAGTTTGCTAACAGTAAGCGTTTCAGAATATTGAGTAAAAATTAGTTTTCTACTGTTTAATTTTTGCCTGAGACTCCATCTGCATACGAAGGATGTCTGATTTTGTATTCAGGGGAAAACGTTGGTTTGATTTGAGTACTGTTCATGAAACCGAAGTCACAAGTTCCAACCTTGTATCTTCAAGATAGCATGGTCCTTTTCTGAAACTCACAATTTTCCAAGACTCTAACATTAAGCTTGGCCATCCTTCTTATTCATGTGAGCTCCTGGTCATGGGTAGGAAAGTATGGAGGGATCAGAGCACATGTGTTGTGCTGGGAGGGGAGTGGAGACGGCACCGGGGAGATGACTCAGGAGGGGTGCAAACGGTATGCTGAGTTTCTCATTCCAGTCAGGAAATCCAGCTGCTTCTCAATTTAGCTGTGCAACCTGGAGATGTTAATTTGATATGTGTCACTGCAACCCTTATTTCTACAGGGTGAAGAATTAATTCACTTAGACGGAAAGTGCTGTCCTGAATGCATTTCAAGGAATGGTTATTGTGTTTATGAAGAGGATGGAGAATTTGTGAGTATCAGGCTAATCCCTGAAAACTATTCAAAATGGATTCAAAATTAATCTCGGAAGGGGATATTACCTTCTTTCTTGTTTCTTTTACTCATTCATTTGTTCAACAAATGGTGTTGCACACCTACTGGGTACCAGGCGACGGGACACTGAAGTGAACACTACGGGTAGAGCCCCTGCTCTTGGTGGTGGGGTGCTTTGGTGTCGGAACACGGAGAGCAGACACTGTCGGGGGGAGGGGCACTGCCCAGAGCACGAGGCCGCTGGGAGGTCTAGGGAATGGCTGGATGGGCAGGCCGGGGTGTGCTCTTTACACAAGATGGACAGGGAATCCCTCCTCTGTGGAGGGACCTGAGCAAAGTCTGCAGCAAGTCAGGGGGTGAGCCACACTGGTGTCTGGGGGGAAACACTGCAGGAAGGGGGATCAGTAAATGCAAAGGCACCGAGGCAGAAGTATGGCATGTTCAGGAAATAGCAAGAAATCGGGCATGGCTGGAACAAAATGAGGGAGGGAGGAGGAAGCTGGAGGTAGGGCTGGTCAGTAGCCTGTAGTAGGGCTTTGAGCAGAGCAGTGCTGAGATCTCACCTCCTCATGAAAGCACCACTCTAGCTGGAAGGGGCCTAGACTGGAGGAGGTGGCCAGGTTAGAAGGGTTTCACAGTAGTCCACATGAAGGGTGGCAGTGGCTTGGCTTAAAGAGGAAGTAGGGAGTGTAGTAACCAGTGATCAGGGTCTAGATGTCTATGGCAGGGAGAGCTGAAGGGATGTTGATGGATTGGGTGTGAGGGAAAACGCCCGTTACTAAGGTTCTGTTTCTCCTGCATCTGTACTTTTCCATTACCCAAAGGTAAAACTATTTATCTTAATCTCTTCAAATTTGCCCTATTTATGGAATCCATAATTTTCATGTTGGGCATTAGAATATTGATAAATTGATTGGGCTTTAGAAAATCTGGCAGTTGGTCATAATCACCACTGTTTCTGTGGCCAGTCAGAGTAGGATGCTGGTCGTCCTCTCTGAGCCTCTGGGGATGTGTCCCAGGAACCCGAGTGGACGCCTGAAATCACAAGTACGGCCGAAACGGATTTCCATCAGCTGAGACACGCTTCTGTTCACGTTGTCCACCGCACATTTAAACCTTTACCGTCTTAACTGAGCATTATCACACACTGTGGCCGTAACTTTGCCATTTGAGGTGCAACTGCAGAAGTAACGTGAATTGTTTTCTTCTTCACAATTGCACAGATATTAGATTCATTCTTACCATAGATCTTACTAACTGTGGCATAAGATTATTATCTTTCCTTATTAAGTCGAGATCTTTTGTCCCTTCACTTAAAGGAAGCACGATGGCTTCTCTTTGGCACATCTGAGTTACAGCATCATTACTGTTACGCTTTGGGGCATTTTTAAGTAAAATAAAGTTTCTTGGAACACAAGCATTGTGATACCATGACAGTTGATCCGATAACTGAGACAGCTACTGAATGACTAGTAAGCCGTGGTGTCACAGCATGGATATGCTGGACAGAGAGGGTTTGTGTCCTGGGCAGGGTGGGCTGGATGGCGTGCGATTTTACCACATTATGCAGAATGGCGCACACTCTAAAACTGATCCATCGTTTATTTCTGGAATTTTTCATTTAATCTCTTCTCACTGTGGTTGACCTAGGTAAGTGCAACCTCAGCAAACAAAACTGTGAGAAGAGGAGACTGCTGTGTAAGAATTAGGACTAAATGCTTTGACTGGTGAAATGATTCCTCCTCTCTTTTTCTTTGGGCTCTGGGTGGATTACATGTCACCCTGCCAGTACTTCTGTATATTCTGGGGAGGCAGCGTTGTGTAGGGTTAACAGCGTAGGTTCGAATCCGTACTTCGGATCTGTGCTTGTGATCTTGGGCAAGGTACTGAATCCTCATTTAAAGTGTGGATAACATAGAATTCATCTCATGGGGCTGTAGAGGTAATGTGTATAAAACACAGAATAGTGCCTGGCACATGTTTTGAAAAGTTAAAAACATTGGTATTACTCTGATTATCGTGCTGTTAACATTGTTTCATAGCCGTATTTTATAATTTAGTCATCGTTGTTTCTTAAGAATTTAGATTAAGGAATCCCTATAAATGTTGAATTTGTATTTTCTCAATCATTGTATCAATTTTCCCATTCATTTCTGGAAGCAAATTAGACACAGTGGAATTAAGAAGACCGAGTTGTTTTAAATAAGCACAAAATCTCCATAATACTTTGGTATGTAAAACGAAACAGTGTGCCCTGTGAGTGTAGATCGCTTGACTGAGAGGTCCTTCTTATTGAGGGAAAGTGAAGCCAAGTACTTGAACACAAATTCAAAAATATTTCCGAGGCATGTTGTCCCCATCCCATAGTGGTATGCTTTTCTTGTTTTTGATAATATAGATTTTATTGGTATTCATAGCAAATGAATGAAGTTCCATGTTACCAGAGGAAAAATGGATAACTCCTAATGAAAAAATAACTACATCAACCCTAATGGTGTTTTTAGTGGTATAATAAATACATTTCTCTTTGTTCCTAGATATCCTCAAATGCTAGTGAAGTTAAACGTATCCCAGTAAGTATAGATTTTTAACTTGTGCATAACTCATTACAAAATTGTTGTAAGTAACAATCTGTATGAACTGTCACAGGAACCCTTAGCATTTAGCCCTGGTATCTTTAGCAGCCACATTTGGTGGCACTGTGGTCAGGAATTAAGACTCTTTACAATAAATCAGACCTTGAGCCATTAAACCTTTGCTTTTTAGCACGTTGTTTTATACAGTTGGTAATTGACGCTTCTCTAACTATAAGCTCCTGGATGTGCTCTTTCCCCTTCTTGAGATGATTTTCTCCTCCTGACTTTTTCTGGCCTAGAAGGTTCAGTTTAACTTCATGGAACTGCTTACATTTGCAAGTATTTGCTCCCCAAACAATACTGAGTGTTCATTCTCTCTAGACTGTTTGCAGGACATCGTTGTACGGTTTGTTTTAAAGGGAAAAATGCCAGCTTGTTTGTTCACACACGCAGTCTTACAAGTTTGGAGGTTCTAAAACAAGGGGCCGGAGACCAGCCTGCCTTGATAGGGAACAGAAGCCCTTCCCCCTCTTCAAGATGACCTTCCTCACTTTCCTAACATTTGCCATCCGTTTTGCTACATACCGTCACATTAGCTGTCTGCAAGGTTGGCATCAATTAGCTTCATGCACATTTTATCAGATTTTTATTTTACAATCAACTGTCCTGTTTTCTCCTCTTTTCCCTCCCTCATCACTCCAGTATACTCTGGTAAGAACCTCTGTCTCTTTCCTGTGAACAGAAAGGGATTGCTCCTTATAATTCACTTTGGATTCTCTGTTAAAATACTCATGTTTATTACCATAATTTGCTTGGCTGAAAAAAATACTTTAGTGTGGGAAAGCTTATGGCACGTGTACAACCCATACTAAGTGGGCCTGCGAAAGCTTTAGTGTGAGGAGCACAATGACTTGACTGTTACTCTTATTATAGTAACCGTAGGAAATTCGGGATTTTAGCCACACTTCCGACTGTTGTTTTACAGATTGTGTTTGATGTGCCTGCTAATTACTAGGTACATAGAAATCTCCCTGGATGTTTTTGGTGAAATACATTGAGAAACCAGTTTGAAATGCTTCTTACATATTCTGGTAGCCCCAGAATACTCTTACAGTGTATCTCTGGGTGTTCTGCCTTAAAAATGAACCAATTATAAACAAACAAGGAGAAATTCCATCCTTTTAAATTTCGGACTCTTCCACCGTCGTCCTGTGTCCAAGTTGGGTCTGGCAGGGTACTGACAAGGTGCCTTCACTTTGTCCTTGTGAAATTCTGAGTTCTTCAGCAGCAAACCCTCCTCTGAATCCTGGTCATTCCTTGTTGTTTCTCGTAGGAGGGAGAGAAGTGGGAAGACGGCCCCTGCAAGATGTGCGAATGTCGGGGGTCTCAGATAACGTGCTACGAGCCTTCTTGCCCACCATGTCCAGTGGCCACACTAGCCTTGGAGGTGAAGGGCCAGTGCTGTCCTGACTGCACTTCAGGTGGGTCCATGTCCCATTTATTTCTACTGAGATAGTTTTACTGCCAAAGAACTTACAGAGATCCTATTTCCCACCCACCTCCATCTTGCTGCTTTTTCTATACTCACCCAATGGGTTCATTTCTTTCTAATTCTTCTAATAAATGATGCTAATTAAACTTTGTCTGGGTAATTGCCAAACTCAACTGATTACGTATGTCTGTGTGACCTCCAGCCCGTCATCAACCCTCTCTAAACCTCGATTGTCGACAATATCGTGCCTTATCTATCTTGCAAAATCATCGTGAAAGTCAAACGATGCTCGAGAACTTGTGAAGGCAAATCTGCCTCCCACTTTGGGGGATATAAGAAGAATCGCTCACAGTTTGTTATGAATATTCTCTCTCTCTCTTTTTTAAGGTGAACTATTGAACAGATGGCTTCTTTTGGAGTTCTCAGATGGGTTTTTAAAGTTTAAAGACTCATTAGTTTCTTCCAAAAGAAAATTTTTATCTACTCGTTCTGCAATTCTGCTTTCAAATCACCTGGGGTTGAATTAGTTCCAGTTGATAATTGTTGGCAGGCACTGGAGTTGCTCTGGTTGAGCAATAATTTGCCTATAAGCTTAGTCTCTCTCAGAGAAATGACATTCTCTCCCATTCATATTTCATAATTAGCTGTTTTCATTCATGGGCTGCCATTTTTCATATCGGCAGTTGTTCTTGCAGTGCTCAACTTACTTTGGCTAATCACAGTGTTTCCCTGAAGAGTTTATCAAGGGACAAGCAAGGCAACTTTATGGTTTAATTACGTTGCCTTCACCCAAGTGGCTCTCTGGGCTTTCCAAAACAAACATTTAGTGTATTATTATGTGTTCGACATGGAGAATTGAATCCTTAACAACTTCAAAACCTGAAAAAAGTTCTTTGCTGACAGTTACCACTCAATTCAGTGATAATCCTAATTTTGGAGAATGAGATTTGAAAGTCTGGAGAGAAAGAAAACTGGCTGTACTTTTTTGTTTAAGTAAAAATAACTATTTTTAAACATTGTAGGTGTTATGTCTGAACTGCTTATGCATGTTGAAGCTTAGGAAGAACAGCTCAGATATCATACATTATTAAATCGGTTTAAATCATGTATTATGGAAGTAGTCATTCTTGTTTCTGGAGATATTCCAGCAGGTGGAGGCATTAATAAAGCTGATTTTTAGCATCTTCAATTTGGGGCTATAGGAGACAGTGATGGTATTTCAGACAAGGAAAGAATCCTTGAAATCTTGCGCTGAAATGCGTTTTTTCTATTCGGAGGCCTTTTTCATGCCTAAGTCCCACAGTTTTCTGTTCTTCATGCTTTGTGTAACTCTCCATACCCTGCAGGGTCTTTCTCTGAGGAAGGGAAGTTGTGGGTGGTCTTCACTGAGTTCTGCCTTCTTTGTCCTTGATTTCAGTTCATTGCCACCCAGACTGCTTGACCTGCTCTCGCTCTCCAGACCACTGTGACCTCTGCCAGGATCCCACAAAGTTGCTGCAGAATGGACAGTGTGTGCACAGCTGTGGTCTGGGATTTTACCAAGCCGGCAGCCTTTGTTTAGGTATGGCTCTGCGTGAACAGCCCCAAGGTGGTGCTGTCTGGTGGACAGGGACTCCTCAGTCGTGATTCTCAAACGAGATTCGGTATCTACACCGAGCAGGTCAAAAATGCAGGAAATGTCCAACAGCTAAAAACCATGAGAAGCAGCAATGCCATCCGGTTTGCGTGGCCACTTTGCCCACAGGACTTTCTTCTGACATTTTCCAATGTTTTAGTGCTTGTGGGGAGACAGGTGATGTGGACAGGCTGCTAGGTAGTCGTAGCTGGATTTCTCCATTTTCAAAGACTTTTGAGGGTAACAGTATCATCAGGATGCTTAGTATCTTATTAAAACCTTCAGTTATTCCACGTTAGACATTTAGAATTGCCACAGACCTTCAAGATCACTTACTAGAACTTTCTAATTTTGCAAATGGGGAGCCTGTGGGCCAGAGAAATGAACCAACTTGCTTAATATCGCGCAGATGATGGTAATAGAGGTTCTCTCCTGTGAGTCACCAGAGGGTCCAGAATGGGTTCTGTGCATTTCAGAGCTCTTCTGGGTCCGAGAAGGAGATCTTACTTGGGAGAGTTTGGCTTGGTTGAGGTCAAAGCTTAGTTACCATTTCCCTTATCTCTGCTTTGTGAGGTTAATTATCCATAAGACTGTGTGGGTTGATGCCCGGGCTGTGAGTCTTAAACCTCTTTGTGCCTCAGTATTTTCATCTATAAGTGGGTGATCCTAGTACCTTTTCCAGAAGGTTGTTGTAGGGATTAAGTGTGTCAATATATGGTAGGGGCTTAGACTAAGATATGCTCAGGTTGCAATAAGGGTTAGATGTTTGATTACTTTTGTGATTATTCATTCCTCCCTACTTTCTCTCCTGATTCATATGATCTTCAACCTTTCTGAAAGTTATTTATGTCTATGGGATATAGAGCAAAAGGGGCAAGAGAGCTTCTTGCAGAAAGGCTGAGTGACAAGGACCTTGAAGGCTGTTGGAAAAGAAGAAAAGAACACAGACCCCTGAGCCGAACTGCCCTGAGCTGAACTGCCCGGCTTCAGAGCCAGCTTCACGTGGCCTTGGGCAAATTACTTACCCTCCCTGAGTTTGCTCCTCATTTCTAAAATTGAGATTAGTAATATCTACTTGTGAAAAGCCCTCTGAACAGCACCTGACATGAACCTGTGCTATAGGAATGGTGGCTGCTAAAATTATTTCCTTTGCTTTCCTGTTGTCTGTGGGCCCAGAGCCTCAGGATCAGGCTGTATAAGCCTCCACCCAGGGTTGGTGTGTAGGAGCTAATCAGAGTGTCCTTTCTCTTTCTCCATCCTTGCCCGGAGCCAGCCTGCCAGCCTCAGTGCGCCACGTGCACCAGTGGGCTGGAGTGCTCGTCCTGCTGGCCTCCCCTGCTGATGCAGCACGGCCAGTGTGTGCCCTCCTGCGGGGACGGCTTCTACCAGGATCGCCACTCCTGTGCAGGTAATTGCCAGGTGGTCTGCAGCCATGTGGGCCACCGAGCTGGCTCCCCCACCCCACCCCACCGAGCTGGCTCCTCCACCCCACCCCACCGAGCTGTGAGCAGCTTTTCAAATAAGAGAAGAAACTCTGAGCAAGACTCCCGATGGGATGAGAAGAGCAGTGCACGAGAGAAGACACACGGTTTTATAACCTCATTAGAGGAATTTACTATCTCTATGCTTCAATAGATTTATATGCCCACTTTTATATTTTTAATTAAGAACTAGTTGAAATTCTTACTATCATAATAATCTCTGGAGGTGGGAGTGGCCATAATATAATTTAATTTGTTGTTTCTACTTGACCATTTATAGTGAATTTAATTATGAATATAAGTACAAAACTAACCGTATGAAGAATTTTTTAAATGCAGAAATGGGAGAAGGGAGTCATGGTAAGAGCAAAGACAAAGGGCAGAGATGTGGGTCTATCGTCAGGAGGACAGATAGGAGCTGTGCTCGGAAGCTCCGGCAGGTTTGTGGTGGCAGAGAAATGTGAGAGGGCAGATGGGCCAGGGAAGGGTCTTGGATGCAAGAGAACCAACCTGGGGGCAGCTGATATGCACCTCTTTCATGCCCTTGGTTGGGTTTTTAGGGAAGTCAGTGGGAGAGAAAACAGTTACAGAGATGCCCAGTGCCTGCTGTTCATCAGATGCACAAGCTGAAGGCCGAGTGAGCACTTAGACCACTTGTGGGGCTGAGGGAGAGGGGCTGCTGGTCCCGGCCAGAAGCAGAGCCACAGGGTGTGGAAACACAAGCATTGTTTGTGCCTCTTCCACAGATGTGAGGAGAGACAGGCCTGCTCTGGGACCACCATGTTAGAGATGTGGAAGGTGGAGCAATGTCAGAGCCCTGCTGGAGGCTCTTTGCAGTCTGGGAGAGCATGGTCCCAATGTCCTCAGATCAGTGCAGCACACAGTGCTTGGCATTTGGTGAACAAGTGTGTGATAAATGGATGAATGAATGAACACACGACCCCTTCATGGTCCTTGAAAGGCCAGTGTTTCTCTAGACGTCTCGGCCTTAAAAGACACGGGACTCCATAGTGTTTACAGCCTATCATGTTCTGTTTACCTGTTGTTTTAAAAGTGGGCACATACAAATGCCGTTATGAGAGCCTAACGCTGAGGCAATTCAGGTAAACTGCT